AAGTATTGCAACATATTTGCATATATTTATACCATATTGATATCATTGGTGATCAAATGTACATGTGATCACCACCTGTGTTTAGTTTCTTTGATACTTTTTGTCCTATAGTAAATGATACAACTATCAAATTTAGAGAAAGATATGTTATCTGCTTCCTTTTTTGAAAAAACAAGAGAATGTTATTTTCTGAAGTTAGATTTTAAAACTAAAGGTAATCTGATTGATTTTGGGATGTTATCTTTTCAAATCTGTCTTTTCACAGCTTTATATAAACAATATTGTTCATTTTTATATGATTTTCCGAAACAGTCATGGGAATTTCCTTGGTTTTGTTTCCTTTTATCAAAAGCCTTTGCCACCTATGTTTATTAATGCAAATTACAACTTTGAAGTAATTGAATAGTCAAAAATAAATTAATTAATCAATCAGTGGCAATGGAAAAAGGCACTGAAGAACCTTAACCTTTCGTCTTCTCAAAACATTTTAATGACTTCATTTCTGCTATATCTGATTTCTATTTTCAGATTGATGAGTAACCATTTTTTTTAATTTCTGAACATGACAGTTGATATTCATGACATCTGTGTTTCAGATTCAATAAACATATATAAAACTGCTATCAACTTTTGAACAGTTAATGTTACGATTCAGAATTATTGAACAATAAACAAATGTTTTTAGATATTAACCTTCCTTTTATTTGAATTCAAGAAGAAAAAATGCACTCTTGAGAAGCTACATAATTAACTTTGCCAATGGCTATCTTCTGTGTATCTTATTCCAGTCAACTTTTGCATCAATCCACAGACTGACATGCAAATTTGTTAAGAACTTCCTGAACATATGTTCTAAATCAAATAACTGGCACACAGTAAAAAAAACTCCTGAAAATAATCAATAGTAATGCTTGAATCATTACTAAAAAACGTGAGCTGTAACAGACATCTTTATAAAACAGACCTGTTGAAACCTTGTCAGATCATGAAAACATTATCATTATAAACACTGTCCAACTTTCATAGTGTATGAACGGATTGAACATGCTTCATTTCGAGCAGTAAAGCTTTAATGTATGAAACTGTAAACTGAAATGTACATTTTGATGATGGAGAATATGTGGCATACCCTCCAAGAGACTCAAATAAATTCAAAATCCTTTTTGGTTACTAATAAAACATCTCCTGAAATTTTAGCTCTTTCATTTTTCATAATGTCTTCACTGCGGAGGTGGGCTTAACAAACACATTAGCACCATGTTGTTTCTTCAACTCTTTGTTTCTAGGGTTTTAAACATGAGAGACCTTAAGCTATGCTAAACTCATAACAGTTTTTGGCTGCCAAAATGTTATCCAGTTCATTTCGTAGTTCTGGGTAGGACGTGTATGTCCATGGTACTTCCAGAACGGGGCCACACGTGTGTGCCACAGGGCGTCGTGCCAGTCCATCCACAGGTGTGAACAGCACTTCAATTTTCTGAACACAGATGACATCTGACCCAGTAACAAACCGGAACATCTTTCTGAGGCCTGCATCATCAAGTCCTCTGATGTACTGCTGCAGAAATCTGAAACTCTGCTTCTCGGCTTCAGAGATGGGAGATGCAGTGAGCAACTTCAAAAGCTTTCTTGTTGTTGGCTTTTTATCTTCATACATTTGTAGGACATGTTGTGGGCTTTGGAAAGCTTCTTTTAGAAAGTGACATGCAACTAATGAAATTTTCTCCATGGCATAAGATGGTTTTTGGATCAACTGCTTGTGAGCAACTTTCCGAAGAATGCTTTTTAAGTTTTTTTGCGTTGGGATGACTGATACATCCAGGCGATCCATGAGATCCAGAAGTTCATCCCTGTCTTCTTCTGAAAGATCTTCCTTTAGAGCTCTTGTTATTAAATCCCGATCTGATTGGCTTAGGTATAAGAGGAGATTTTCAAACAACATATCATCTGTAACTTGATTTTCACCAAAGATAAGTGCCACTGTGAAAACAGGGGCAAGGCGACAAGGGAAATATCCATGGTCTTGAAATCCCTTCAGTAAAATTCTACCGATGGACTTCCATTCTTCCTCCAGCCATTTAGGAGACAGTGATGGCACTCTGAACTCCTCTCCTTCAGCTGTGTTGTCAACAAACTCTGCCCAAAATGTAGCATACACATCTCTTGATACACCATCTGCATCTGCTCCTTTTTCATCAATGTAGGTGTATTTTAATGGGTGTCTCAGGAGTGCTGTATCTTTGAACTGGTTGATCATCTCCTCCAGAATGTTAACCCTGGATTTTGATGGTGACACAGACTACTTCATATGATGCAGAAGAACTCATTGCTTCATTGCTTATAGGTGTATCTGTATAACTGTCTGGAGTGCTTGCTGGAGGAAATGTAATGGATGTGATGACCAGATCATCTCCTTCTAACTGCAGGTTTGCTTCACCTATTAATGTGTCATCAAGGTGACAAGCCAGAGGTTCTCCAAGGTAGGGACCAATCATTACCTCAGATGTGTCTGATGATGCTTCTTCACCAGAATTCCTGAAATCTGATGACAAGATCACAACAGTCTGAGAAGCTTCCTCATCTTCTTGATGTGAGTCAGTCAGTTGTGTCACATTTTCACATGTTTCCCCTCTATCACTAACTTCATCTTCTTCGCCTTCATCTTCATAAGAAAGTCTTCTTGTGCACAAGTAAAATCTCAACATTCCCATTTTAAGTATTGAGTAGAGCTCCCCAACTGAGATGTCGTCATCAAGTACAGCCTCTTCCTGATAGTCTAATACATCACATCTGAACACATCCCATCTTCCAAATCTGCTTTTTCCATTTGGAAAGAAAAGATCCTTGGCATACTGTAATAAGTCAGCTTTCTTGGAGTCTTTGGGAACATCAAAGGTCCTTGTTCCTCCTCCTCTGCGCTTTCTCACTTGCTTACCTTCATGGATCCAGCCCAGCTCAATTTTTCTAGTCTTTTTCTGAGCCCATTTGTTGTTTTGTGCATATGTTCTTTTTCTCTTACAAGATAACTTATCCTCATGATCGGGGTTCTTCCCATTTTCATCGATGCCCATCTTTTTCTTCAATTGTTCAAGAAATGAGTTTTTTCTTGATTCCTTTGTCCTTGCATCATTATTATCCAAACAGAACCGTCTTGCAGCTATCCTATCACCATATGTTGGGATGTAACCAGACAGGGTCTTATCATCCATGAAATCAATCACTGTGGCATCAATCTGAAATAACAGAGACATTTATTACTTTACAAAGAGACACCTACTGCCAGTCACAATACATTTAATTAATGAAGCTGAATGTAATTTTTACTTGTGCTATGACAATGATTTGTCATGCCATTCTATGAAATTCTATTATTTTTATCCTCAATCTGTGCCAGCAGTGTTATTAGATGCTCCACATCATTTATTCTACAGAAAATTAAACGCTCAGTTCATTTGGAAAAAGCTAAATCAATGTTTTACATATCTTTCCTGGTCAAATCAGCCCTCATGAGAACTCGTAAAGAAAAGGGTTTTCCTTTTTTTAGCTAAGGAGAGTTCAAAGTAAAAGTCAACTTGGTTCGTGTTTTTACAAAGATTCGTAAATGGACAGTTAAGAAAAGCCTAGTAGTAATTGGTAGTACTTGAGATACTTAGTATGTGTGTATCAAAAAGGCACATTTAGCAGCTCTGTCATCCTGATTTCAGCCCATTCTGTCGCTCAACTCAGCTCTTCTCCTGCAGACGGTGTTACCGTAAACTACCGTATAAACGCGCACTTCAATTCTAGCTGCGGCTCACTTGACCACGGCCAGACGAACGACGGCTCACTTGACCGCAGTCTTTTTTCGGCGTTTTAAGTTTAAAGACGGTGATTTAGACGCCGTTAAATAACCAAACGTGCTCCAAAGTGGGCGAATTGTGATCCCTTTGGCTTGGCTCTAGTAAGTTACTTACTAAAATAGCACAGCACACGTTTCAAGCACACCTGCTTAAAAGTTTACAAATGTTCCTTGAAAGAGAGCACTTACACCATCTTGTAGCATTCGTAAGAGACAGTCTTCAGGTACACCACGGTTCCGTAAAAATCTCAGAAGTGGGGTGTCTGTGTTTGAGGCCATGTTTCCGGGAGATGATCTGCCAGCTCTCTGTCGTGTGTCGTTTCGTGTGAAACGATAATTATATTGTATGAACGTGATATTTATTTTGTACAAACGTGATAATTATATTGTACAAACGTGATAACTATATTGTACGAATGTCATAATTATATTGTATGAACATGACATTTATATTGTACAAACGTGAAAGTTATATTGTACAAACGTGATAATTATATTGTACAAACGTGATAACTATATTGTACGAATGTCATAATTATATTGTATGAACATGACATTTATATTGTACAAACGTGAAAGTTATATTGTACAAACGTGATATTTATATTGTACAAACGTGATAATTATATTGTACAAACGTGATAATTATATTGTACAAACGTGAAAGTTATATTGTTAGAACAATAAGTTATATTGTTAGAACAATAAAGTTAATATGTTATAACGTGATATCGCTCCAATTTTATTTTGCGTAGGGTGGCAGCTCTACGCTGCCGTATGGAACAGCTTGATGAACTACTCTCCCCACATGTTTTAAAAATGCTAATATGCTATGCTAAATCTGCTATGCTAAATAATGATTTCTCTATAGAACTACAAAGTCCGACTGGGGGAGGAGAGTACAGGTCTGCACTATGGAGGGGGGGCGGAGTTTACAGCTCCTCCTCCAGTTTAAAGAGACAGTACCCCAAAACGGCTCGTTCTCAAGACTCTCCTCAGAACAGGGGTAGATGAGGGTCTGTAGAGCAACATTAATGAGGAAATCAGACCAAAGAACTGCAGTTCCACTGTATTTAGACCCCAACTGAAGGCTTTAGATGTAAAAAGGAATAACTTAAAAGCATGTTATGTCTCCTTTAAATCAATCCACCTGTTTTCATAGGAATCACCAGATTACATCAATGTCCAGGAGCTGAAGTATTTAGACATGGTTGTATCTGAAGCACTGAGGCTTTACCCTCCCGGGTTCAGGTGAGGAAACAGAACCACTCAGAGAGACCACTCGTTTTGTTTAATTCATGAATACTGAACGACCAATTTTTGTTTTTGATATTTTGTCCCGTCAAGATTTGCACGAGAAGTTGACCATGACTGTGTGGTGAATGGTCAGTTCCTCCCTAAAGGGATGACCGTGGAGATCCCTGCTGGCTTCCTTCATTACGACCCGGAGCACTGGTCCGAACCGGAGAAGTTCGTCCCGGAGAGGTTCTGTTAACCCTTACCTCACATTAGAGCATTTTTTTGTGCTGACACGTGTATTTTTGTGAATAACTTTGGCTGTGTTAATGCAATTTATCAAATTTTTATGGAGGATGTGTATTTTGGAAGGAATTACAAAAAAAAGTTTGAAAAAATATTCAACCTACTTTATTAAAACGTGGAAATCATTTTGTACAGTTAAGCACATTGAAGCATTTTTTTGTGCCATTGACTTTCATGTAAATCATATATTTTGAATTAGCATAAATATTGGCATAATTTTAAAAAATTATGATTGTGCCCGTGTTTACAGTCTCATCACAAATGTAAGAAGCAGTTTTTACCGTTTTTCACTACATGGCATACTTTCTCCATATATAGCAGGGCAATGGCTGACCCAGCATTTAAACTGAATGATTTAGCTGTATTTCTTTACCTCTGACTGCCCATTATATTACATATTTTGCAAAAAAATGGTTTGTGTGTTATTTAGAGATGCCATACAATAGTTTGAATGTGTGTGTTCTGAATTTTTGGTAATTGTGCTTTTTCAGTGTTCTTTCAAAAAATAAGCCTGACTGAATGTACAAAATTAGCTTATTCTGCAAAATAGCATTTTGACATGTGTTCCTTTGTGTGTGATTGTGCAGGCATGCGTGTATGTAGGTATCAAAGCACTTTACAGATCTTCAAAAGACAGATCTGTGATCATTATCTGGAGTGGTTGAGCAGGTGTGGGTAATGGGAGTGTAGGGGGGGGGCACAGGTTCTCACACTCTGTTGACTTCATGAATATTCATCAAAGGCATGCTATATATCAAAAATCAAAGGATTTTCTGCTAAATTTCAGATACTCATTCACAATTTTACTTTTGCAAAATGTTATTTCAATAAGTACAAAGCATTTGCATGGATGAAAGCTAAGATGAAGGCTGAAAAACTTCAAAGGCATACATTTGTTTTTCAAAACAAATTCCTGCAGAATCGAATTTTGTTTACATTCAGTAGGGGCAGCTTACACAGGTGCACCAATTGACTAAAAGTACATATATGAGACTCAGATCAGGATTCATTTCTTTGAACCGCAACCATGAGAAGAAGATTCAACGTGAATGAAGCCCTGGAGGTGTTTCAGCAGCTTGAGGAAGAGGGAGAGTCAGCCTCATCCTCATCCACGGATGACAGCTGTTCTTCGGATGAAGAGGCTGAAGATCAGGCCTTTACCCCAGGGCCTGATTCAGGGGAAGAAATGGAAGAAGGTTCAGATGAGGAGGTGGTTGCCGCAGAGGAGAGATGGGACCATCCTTTGTGGCAATCAAAGAGCGGGATCGCCTGGTCCCCGACACCCGACACCAGGATCCCCTTTCGGGCTCCAGACGTCCGCCATTGTGGGATCACCCGCCTCGCTGTCAGCTACATCCAAACTATTGAGGACAGCTTCGATTTTTTTTAACTACAACAATCCTAGATATAATAATAAAATACACCAATATAGAGGGAAGAAGAAAATATGACGATTGGACACCGCGTGGAACTCCGGGCATTGTTTGGGTTGCTCATCCTCGCTGGTGTGCACCGTTCCCGTGGGGAATCATCTGCCAGCCTTTGATGACCGCTTGACCAGGGCAGCGCGCCGGTTGGTGCAGCAGGACAAGCTCGCTCCCCTGCGGGAAGTGTGGGACCTCTGGGCGGCCCGGCTCCCTCTCGCCTACAACCCCAGTGAAGATGTCTGCGTTGATGAACAGCTCGTCGGATTCAGAGGTCGCTGCAACTTCAAGCAGTACATGCCCTCAAAACCGGCAAAATATGGCATCAAGCTGTGGGTGGTGTGCGATGTGGCCACTTCTTATGCCTGGGGGATTATTCCCTATCTGGGCAAGACGACTCGAGACGCCCCGGCAGAAAGGGGGCAAGGGAAGCGGGTGGTGCTGGAACTCACGGAGGGTCTGAGCGGCCGCACTGTCACCACGGACAATTTTTTCACCTCGCTGGTTCTTGGAGAGGAACTGCTAAAAAAAAATCTGTCTTGTGGGAACAGTTAGGCGCAACAAGCCAGAGTTGCCCCCACAGCTGCTCCAGATGAAAAGCAGAGCGGTTCTGTCCTCCCTGTTCGGCTTCACCTCCACCGCCACCGCGGTGAGCTACTCCAAAGCGCCGGCGGAACGTTCTGCTCCTCGGCACCAAACACCATCAGGTTCAGATCCAGGAGGGACCGCAGCAGAAGCCGACCGTAATCATTGATTACAACCGCTGCAAAGGGGCAGTTGACAACTTGGACAAGGTAATCTATTTATTTTATTTTGTTTTATTATAATTCACCAACCTAATTGCATATGTAGTTTATTTATTCATTTATTTTTATTCCAGCTCAGCTGCCGCCGCAAGACCAGACGTTGGACCATGTCGCTCTTCTGCAACATGTTAGATGTGAGCGCCTACAATGCCCTGGTCCTGTGGCTGTCTGGAACTGGCCTGGAACCAGCAGAAGAGGAGCATCTGGAGCTCCATGGTGAGACCAGCCCAGGCGAGGTGCACTCGCTTGCCGCGGTCCAGCAGCGCTGCAGCTTTGTTGCAGGTGCAGCACCAGCCCAGGAGCAGACAAAGAAAAATGCCACCTTTGCAGAGGGAAGAGGAGCGTGCATGCACGCTTTTGCCAAGCATGTGGACAGGCTGTTAGCTCACTCCCCTCTGTGTTTCTCTCTCTTTCTCTCACACACACACACACACACACACACACACACACACACACACACACACACACACACACACACACACACACACACACACACACACACACACACACACACACACACACTTTTTCTTTGTTCGTGTGCTTTAATAAAGTGTTCAACTGGTTATCTTTGTAAGTGCATTTTTTTGTGCTCTAATGACTTTAACGTGAGTATTTTAGAAAATATGACATTACACAAAAACTACAAAGTGAGCAAAAAATATTTTTATGCCTATTTGTGACACTCCAAGGCTGTGACAACTTACCCACAAAAAAGGTCATCTGGACATATCACACAAAAAATGATTTGATTTTTTCATTTTTTGTACAGTTTTCAAACTTCAGGTTTTGCTAATAAACCTGGCAATAAAGGGGTTAAATCTGAGAAACACACACATATTTTATTATATTTTGTTAGGGCTGAAGCCAAGGATGAAATTCATGTAAAAAAATTGGGACTTATGAAATATTATATAATATTTCTAAAGGAAGCTTTCTAAGTGCATTTTTTTGTGCTCTAATGACTTTAACGTGAGTATTTTAGAAAATATGACATTACACAAAAACTACAAAGTGAGCAAAAAATATTTTTATGCCTATTTGTGACACTCCAAGGCTGTGACAACTTACCCACAAAAAAGGTCATCTGGACATAACACACAAAAAATGATTTGATTTTTTCATTTTTTGTACAGTTTTCAAACTTCGGGTTTTGCTAATAAACCTGGCAATAAAGGGGTTAAATCTGAGAAACACACACATATTTTATTATATTTTGTTAGGGCTGAAGCCAAGGATGAAATTCATGTAAAAAAATTGGGACTTATGAAATATTATATAATATTTCTAAAGGAAGCTTTCTAAGTGCATTTTTTTGTGCTCTAATGACATTAACGTTAGAAAATTTAAACGTTGGGTAAGGGTTAAAAGATAAAATGAATGAAATTTTGTTTTGTGAGACAAGAAAACTGAATATCTGAGCATAAATATACAGTTCCTGTATGTGTGAATTATCTCCAAATGAGCTGAAAAATTTTAAATGCAAGAGTCTTGTCAATCAAAACAGACGTTTCTGCTGTTAGAAACTGTTTGACATCAGAGGTCAGGTTTCATTTAAAGTGATGAATCTGTTATTTCCAGCACAAATCTCACTTATCAAACCCGTCTGACCTTCCAGGTTCACCCCTGAGGCAAAAGCTGATCGACATCCATTCGTCTACCTGCCTTTTGGGGCCGGACCTCGTAACTGTGTGGGAATGAGGCTCGCCCAGCTGGAGATCAGAATCGCTTTGGTCCATTTGTTCCACAGATTCAACATCGTGGCCTGTTCTGAAACCAAGGTGGCTCAAGTCAGCAAATAAAATACGTTTTGATTTGCTGCCACTTCTATTTTACTGAAGAAAAGCTGATTATTCTTATCTTTTACTGTAGATTTGCTGCAAATGTGCAAAAAAACAGTCGTTTGTGGGAAAGCAAATTAAAGATATTAACTTTTTATTATTTGAATTAATTATAATTTTATACAGAATTATCTTAACTTTAAAATCAGGGACTTGTTTTATTGGGTTATATTTCTTCTACATCTGGCAACAAGTTACTTGCTGGAAAATTGTTCCCTTTTACATTTTTTTTGTTGTAATCTTTCAGATTCCTCTTGACCTGAAGTCTTCCAGCACTCTTGGACCCCAAAATGGCATTTTTGTGAAAATCACCAGAAGAGATGATGGAGACGGACAAATCTAGCCTGGCAAGCCAGACTAAATAAATGTATTATTTATTCTGGCAGCGCTCCATTGACGGCTCTCGGTTGTGGGGCAGGTTCTACCGTTGTCTTTCAAATGATCCCCGCATGCTACTGGACAATGAATGTGACATACTCACTGCAACAGCCATCGGTAAATGAGGCGGTCTGCAGTTGAAGGAGAACACACATATTTAAAAAAAAAACACTTAAATACATCTATCTGCTCCTGATTCTAATGAAGCCCAAGTTCTAATGGTCCAAAACTGATGTAAAAGCCGTTTCAAACGAGCTGTCGCCATCTTGTTTTACTCTGTTGCATCATCCCACCCACCAGGCGTATAGAGTGCCCTGATTGGCCCACAAAGCAGATAAAGCTCTGTGATTTGTTCACTAAGCAGATAGAGCACCATGATTGGCCCACCATTATGGACCAATCGCAGCTCTTTATGTGTTTGAAACCCCTCTAGAGAGCTGTGATTGGCCAGCCGGAATGCTGTTAGGGGCTGCGGAGGTTCCAGTGGAGCGTTCCTAGACCAAACTTTGCAAAGCAAGAATTTGGTCTAGTTCACCAGGCTAGGACAAATCAGCACTTTTGGATGATTTGATCTCACCTTTACGCCTCTGCAACAGCACAAGGCACTTATGCTAAAGCAAACCTGCATTTCACTCTTGTTTTTGGACTAATTCACAAATTTAACTGAAAGTTTCTGTTATTCCATCTGTTACGGCCGCATGAAGAGTGAGGGTTGAGTTAGAGAAGCTCCCCCATAGGCAGTCAGTGGGATGCCCTGGTTGTGTAAATGGAGGATACTGTTAAGTTTTAATGTATCTTGGTTTTTAAGAAAAAAGATGGTGGTGTCTTACTTTAGGTATGGTTTTGATTCTTTGTCTCACCCCCCCTTTTTTCTTTTAAGGGTGGGGATGTTACGGCCGCCGCCGTTTTGAAGCCCAGTGGTGTGCTGCGCGCCGTTCCCTGTGCAGCAGCGCAGCACCACGGACAGCTACGCCTTGGGATGCTGTCCTTCATTCAGGACCATGGACAGCGCCGGAGCGGCAGTCACGGCCAGCTGGGACTTTTCATCTCATCAACTGGCTCTTTAAAAGCGGCCAGCTGGAGCTCATCAGGGGAGAGAAATGTTTGTGGTTGCAGAGGCAACGTGTGTTCTCTCCCCGTTGGTGGTTTCCTGGGTTTTGTGGTGTAAACCAGCTTGTCTTTGTGACTTTAGAGCATTTTGAGTGTTTGGGACATTATTTTGAGTTAACTGGTAAATTTTGGGTTTTGGTGTGTCTGCTAGACCACCTTGTGGGTAAATTACCAGGTGGGGTTTTCCCCTTTTGAAGTCTCAGTTTCCTGAGCTATTTAAGTTGTTTTGGCAACTTTAGTTAATTTAGTATTTGGTTTTGTCTTTCAGACAAACCTTATTTAATTGAAGGGTGGGATTTTTCCCCTTTTGAGTTTCATTCCCTTTTTAAATAAAGGAGATTAATTTTAGGAGTGGTTGGTCCTCCCGTCATTTTCAGTTAATTAAGGTTAACTTAGTTAAGTCCTAGGTAAGGGTTTTTTTGGCCCTTCTTTTGGTTCCTTTTTTTTTTTGTAATAAAACCTTTGAAAATACAAGGACACTTTGAGTTTGGTTTTGCTTGGTCAAGCCTTTTTCTCCCCAACGAGGGTCACTTTTCGTTATACTGGTCCATCTTATGTTTATTCCCCTCACCTTCCTAGCTGAGCCCACAGAGGGGTGTAACACCATCCATCACATTCATAATAATAATTATGTTGCTGCTAATTGAATTTATTTGTTTTGTTTCTTTTCTGGCTCTGAAATGCTAAGATTTCACCCAAATTGCCTCGACAATATCTTAGTGGCGGCTTTAATAAGTGCTTCTCTTTCTCTCCAGCATTAACTATGCTCTGAATTATTAATAATATTTTTCTAAGGACTTTAACAACACTTTCTGTTAAAAATTATGTACTCAGATGACCTAGGTGTGTTGTAAAGCACTTTTTGGAGCATAGATGGCGCCAGTCAGTATCATAGGAAAAGCAAACTTGGATATTTTTTGCAGCTGAATTAATTACTATGAACCATTCCAATCAAATGAATGTTTATCCAAGGAAAGACCTTTTAAATTATCTTTTAAAGATTTTATTTGCATGTTTGGTTTATTGAATTTTTTTTATATCGAGTTTGCTAAAAATGCAAAAGAATTAGGAGATAATGTACATAGAAATTATTCTTCTCTTCAGCTATTCATTGTTAGCAAAACAAAACCAGCACACTTTGAGGTTATTTTACTGATTAAGACGACGACAAAACAAAATATCTATTTGCTATAATAGAGTAGTTTGATTTCATATTAAGTTTAGAGAAAATGTAATAATCCCTCATGGTGGGTAACATGGGTTTTCTTTATAAATGACATGAATGATTAAGAAAACAGACCCATGCTTTTCCACAAGCGTGACACCAGATGTGGACATTACTCGGGTCTCTTCTCAGCGCTTCCTCGAGACATTAATGACCACTCGCACTTTATTAAAATATTATCTCTTTTTTTTTTTTTTTTGCAAAAGAAAGTTTTTTCCCTGTACTTGGGATCAGTAGAAGTTGATTGGGAATGTTTTAGCCATGAAAGTGATCTGCTGATAATAAGCTCAAATGTTTATGTTAAATAAAAACGCCCAACAGCAGGAATCAGTGATGATGGAAATAGGAAATATGTGAAAATAAATAAATGATGTGACCCTTGGATTGGAGGCGTCAAATTGGAGGTTAAATGCCAGAAAATTGGACAATCTTTGGAAAAGGAGCAATCTGATAACAAAATCCTTCGGTCCAAAAACACTGAACTGTCACTTCTGAATTAGCGGCAGAGTGCAGAAATTCAGTCCCTAAAGAAGCACTTTCTGCACAAGTGGAGGCTACCAAAATTATGGAGGACAAATATCGTAAGTCTGAAGATCGGACTTTGAGGTTACACTGCAAACTAGTTCAAGAAAAGTGGGAAAGACAAGACGAGACTCAAAATTTGAACCAAGAAAAAGAGGATTTACTGGCTTCTTGTAAGAGCTTAGAGGAAAATCTTCACATTAAAACTGAAAGTGAGTCCAGGCTGCAGAATGAGCTAAACGCAGCTATGAGACACCTCAACAAGTTGCTACTGGAAGCAGAGGATTTCCATAAAGGAGAGGTTGAAACGTGTTCCACGCTGCAAGACGCACAGGACCACAATAAGCAGAGGAACGATGTGCAGGACTCTACAAACACAGGGTCTAAACAGCCCAACAGAAAGGCTGTCAAACGGCAGATGGTAATGGAAAATCAGAAAGCGAACAGCATTGTCCTGACTAACGAAAGGAGCCTGAAGTTTGACCCACAGGAAGCACAGGGTCCTACCTCAGGGGAGGTCAGGCTGGAATCCCAGCTCCTTGAATCAGAGCTGACACACCAGCCTTATCTTCTACATTTTCAGAAAGATTTTAGTGAAATCAGCGAAGGTTTAGCTGATACATTAGCTCCATTAGACGACTTCAATAACAGCAAACCACAAATTGATGCAAGTTCTGCCACAACATCAAACTCTCCAACCAGGAAGCGTAAGAGATCAGACTGTCAATCTGTATCTGATTCTTCTGCCTCTCAGATCCATGGAGAAAATTCCTTAAATATTACAAAGGACTTTGAGGAACCTCCAGCTAAACATTCAAAAACAGACTCAGAGGAAACAGAAACAACAAAATGGTTTCTGCATCCTATAACCTTCGAATAAAGTTACGTGCTTCTCCGGTGTCTGTGAGGGCGGGCGGAGGGGTGGGTAGCATTCCTCCGACGTCCATCACAGCGGTGGGTGGAGGTCTACGCTTTGCAGACTTCTGGGGTGGGGGGTGGTTACTGGAAGACAAGATGAATGGCTCTCTACAGGGACTCGTCTTTCATCATTCACTTAAAACCCGTTAAAAATATTAGATTCGTTCGCGAACGACACATCACTAGTGATGACCCCAAGATCAGGATAATAAATAGAAAACAGAGCAGAAACACCAGCCTTATCTTTTACATATTCAGGAAGATTTTAGTGAAATCAGCTAAAGTAAAGCTAGAATATTAGCTCTATTAGACGTCTAGAACAACAGCAAACCACAATTTGATCAAAGTTCTGCCACAGCATCGAGCTCTCCAACCAGGAAGCGTAAGAGATCCGAAAACTCTCAATCTGTATATAAAGTAACATGTTTCTCCTGTGTCTGTGAGGGTGGGCGGAGGGGTGGGTAGCATTCTAGCATCTATATAAATAAACTTTTACTTACTTACTTACATTCCTCCGATGTCCGTCACAGCGGTGGGTGGAGGTCTAACCCAAGATCAGGATAAAGAAAGAAAGAAAGCAAGAAAGAAAGAAAGAAAGAAGCAATGTTTTTTGGCAGCTACGTCACCGTAGTAAATCGAAACACTTAGGAGATTTACTAGAAGAGACATTTTTGTATGATATATAGGCTGCATGATGCAGACTTGAGCAACCTTATTCAGCTGTATGTCCCAGCCAGGGCGCTAAGATCTGCTAGCTACACGCAGATCTAGACTCAAAGCCAAGGGTGCTAGAGCTTTCTCTGATGTGGCTTCTACCCTGTGGGACAGCTTGCTTACGTGGCTGCAGGTTTCTCTTACAGCTCTTATTTTATACATTTTAACCTACGATTTATCGTTGATGTGTTTATGATGTTGTGCTACATATTCTGTTTCAGTTTCCTGTGGTTTAAATTTGTTATCATGCCTCGTTGGCTTTTAAGTTTCTACTTTATGTCTCTACTATAATAGCTGTGCAGTACTTTGGGGTAACGGTGTTGCCTTTTAAACGTGCAATATAAATAAATATTGACTTGACTAGTATGCTTAGTACATAACTCTAAGGAGGTAAATTTTATATTATTGTATTTCTACAGGAACTAAGTTATACTTGACTATTATATGGTATATATCAAACCTGGGCATTTTACGGCCCGCGGGCCACATACGGCCCTTTGGTTGACTTTGACCGGCCCGCGTAAGGTTAATTGGAAATTACAAAATA